TTATCTCTGAGCAGAAAAATTGAAACTGTTCTAGGATTGGGGAGTTTGTGAAAATCGTTATGTGGAGAAACACTTTTTATTTTCTGTGAACAGATATGCTGAACTGAGTATTTCCCAATGACCTTCTTTATTTTGATGCTCACCTTCATGGCAAGCACAGGGTGCTTTGTCCTTGACGAGGGTGCTTTCGAGGTGATCTGCATTGTGTGTGGACTTGAGCAGCTCTCCCTGTGAAGCAGTGTCTGAGCTAAAATCTAGGAGCTGGCAATAATAAACAGAGTGTGGGATACATGTTGATTCTTTATCTCCCCCTTCCACTGGCCCCTGCCAAAAGCTTGTAGTCTGTCTGGTAGAATATGGAAAGTCAAAGGCAGCTCAGCTCCTGCTTGAGGATACCTCAAAGCTGGGCGTTTTAAGCTGGGAGGCAGGTCAGCCACCAGGCAGGTAGGTAGTAAGTCAGATGTGCGTGTTACTCAGAGGTCAAGATGAAAGATCCAGTCTAAACCCAGACAAACGTAATAGGCAAACTCCGGCCAGCACGATGAACCTAGTGCTGAATATCTATGCAAAGCAGATGATCCAGAGTCTCGAAGGGTATTTGGGAACCTGAAGGACACGGTGTATACAGGGAGAGTGGGGCAGGCAGGAGCACCGAAGGAAAGGAGGAGCACAGGGGCCTTCACTCTGGAGCAACTTCTACCCAGGCAGACAGGAAGCTACCGGGACAGCAGAGCCCGACCTGAGTCAGGGAGCTGGAGGCGGGGCGAGGGCCGGGTGCAGAGGGCATGGACCTTACGACATGGACAGAGCTGTCCACGACTGCCCGTTGGCTCACAGCTAACTTACCCAAAAAGTACCTGTTGAGCTACTACCTGCAGATGCCTGGCACCATTTAAAGCACTGAGAATATGAACGTGGAACTATTCCACACGTTCTGCCGACAGAACAACCTACAGATGGCACAGGTGTGCAAGAGCAGGTGACCAAGAGTGTGTGGGCTTCAGGGAGAGCTCATGGCGAGCCATGCTGTGCAGCAGTGTCTGCGGGCACGGAGCCACCAGCACGCCAGGTTTGGGACTCTGATGACACTATTCGTGCACTCAACAAATACGGACCGGGCAGCTTGCTCGGTGTGCGCTGTGTAGCTCAGGGCGGGCACGGTGCCCACTCTGCTGGAGCTCGCATCCTCGCAGGGGCGGCTCCGTGTGGACAGGGGAGGGCATTGCACGGACTCCCCAGGAGAAGAGGCGGTACGTGTAGGTGGTGGCCAGGCCGTGGCGCCGGTGGTGCCCTATGGCACTCGAAAAGCTTACATGTATCCAGAAGCGTTGGAGGTCATTGAACTACTTAGTAAAGAAATGATAACCTAGGTGAGAAATCATGTGCTTCTCGGGGAAGAAAGGAAGCGAAGGACTCCAGGGATGTTCACGCCTTATTCATTTCCACATACACCAGACCCAGTGACTCTCCTCCTGTCCCCACATTGGTTACGGCCACGTCTACATCCAAACTGGAACAAGTGAGTGGGGAGACCTAGGCTTCTTCCCTCATCACCCCAGTGCTGCCAACCCTCACTGTAAGTGGATGCACTGACCTGGGGAGGCTCAGACAGGAGCCTCGGCCTCCTTAGGAACGTCTGGTGTGACCTGCAGGGCTCCCTTCAGGCAGTGCCAGACCAGGGAGGTATTTCAGCCACGCTGGCAACGCCTCCTCTGCCCTCGTTCTCACTTAAAATAGACAAAGGCCTGGCTTCTTCACCTTAGGTCCAGTGCTAGAAAGAAAGGAAAGCATGAACATCTGCTAAAGGGTAGAATGGCAGTACGGGCAATGAATTTAAGATAGAAAGCAACAGGACAAGGCAGCCTCCGGTGGAGGGGCAGAGTGGGGTGGTGGGGTCCTGACGTGGGAAAGAACTGGCCCCATGGGCCTCAAGGAGCCGGCCAGGGCGAGGCTGCGGAGGGGCAGGCAGCCTAGGCCCAGTGTGTCTGAAGGATGACACTCCCAGAGGGGTCTGTGGAGGAGGAGGAGAGGTCACTCGGGGCGCAGACAGAGCACGTGACGAGGCCCAAGTCTCCCCGACTGAGGAGAAGAGCCAGGGGTCAGGGCAGACACTGAGGAGGCTGCGCACACAACCCCCGATGGGCCAGTAGGCAGGGCCCTGCCGTCTGCGACAGCGTAAGCGTGCATGAGTGCGGGCGTGCGGGGTGAGCATCTCACTAAAGGAAGCCATGGTCGCACCCAGCCTCTGCCTTCCCTGTTCAGCCTCTTTGTACTTCATGTTTATTGAGCTTAATGCTCGTTTGGTGATAACTTCAGGAAACCCTCTCAAATAATAAACTGTAAATGTATCCAGGTTGCCATCTCATTTTAGAAATACAATTTTTCTATTTGGGATTAATTGCCTAAACGTCCTTAAAAGGTTAAAAGGGAACTGTCTCTTGAACATTAGTTATTAAATTATGTATCACCAATTCATTTGCTGCACTGATTTGAGCTTTGTGACATTTCTTATTGATTGTTTGAAAGCAAACTTCCAATTATCAAAGGATCAGATCCTGCCAGCTCAAAATCCCTCTTGGAGTGGCAGAGAGCTGCTGGGAGAGTTTGAAGATCCCAGGTCTTTGTGGCCAGGACGTGACTTGAGCGCTGATATGGGCATCAACCAAAGGAAGCGTTTTCTTAAGGAGGATGTTTGAGAAACCCAGAATCTGATTCTCGAAGCCACCACAGTGTGGCCGCCCTGGCAGAAGAGCATCTCGCGTGCTTGCACTTTGAAGCCCAGTGCACTGAATGGGGTCTGTTATGTTTAGGCTGGAGATAAAGAACCGCATTTGGCAGACATCCCGGCTCAGATCCTACCTTTTCCAAAGGCAGTATACTGCATGTTCCCAGAGGTGAAGAAAGAATGGCCGAAATAGTAGCTTACGGTTTATCCTTCTTATCTCAAATGTCTGGGGAATAGGAATAATAATATTTACAATTTGTTGAAAAATTTATGGGCAGGCATTGTGTAAGTACTTTACATATTATACATATGAATACCTTTATAGATGTATAAATGTATACATGTAAATATATATCATAAATAACAACTGATACAGATAAAGATATCTACATCTATCTATTTAAATAGATGCATCAATCTCCACTTTTAACCCTTTCACCAATCCTCTGACATAGATATTACAATGGTCCCCATTTTAGAGATTAGGAAAATAAAGCAAAAAAATGTCAATTTGTTCAAAGCACATAGCTAGTAAAAGTTGGCAGACCCAGAACTGAATTAAGGTGATCTGAGCCTAGAAATGATGCAACCTAGGCTTGAACTTATGCCTTCAGTTGCAAATGCAGCATTCGAATGCAAGAGTGAGTGTGCAAGAGAAGTGTTGAGATGCGGAGGTGTGGCGACCCCACAGGCGTGGTGACCCCACAGGCGCTGAGACCCCACAGGCCCAGTGACCCCACTAGGGATGTTTCCTGGCTTGTCCACCTGGTGACAGTCCCACTTAGGTCTGTGGCTCTGGTTTCCTGATTCAGAAGGAGAGGCAGGGTCTCATCTGTGTTTCTTGGTGGTGACCCTATGGTAGGGCCGACTGACTTATTAAATCACAGTACTCTTGCCGCTGGAATTCCTCCGGAAGGACTTGCCTGAGGCTGTTTTATAGTTTACCTTTTTAAAAACAATTTAAGTACACTCTAAAATAATGACAAAAATGGAGTATAGTAAGTACACAAACCAGTAACATGGTTGTTTATTATTATCATCAAGTATGTTCTGTGCATAATTGTATTGTGATACTTTTATGGGACTAGCAGTGCAGTGAGTTGGTCTACACCAGCATGTGCACAAACATGTGAGTAGTGCATTGTTATGGCATGCTAGTGCAATGTTATGACCGCTATGACATCACTAGGCAATAGAAATTTTTCAGTGCCATTTAAATTTCGTGGGACCACCGTCCTATATGTGGTCGGTCATGCAGCACTTACTATGTGTCTTCGTTGAGGCTGCTCCTTTGGCTGATTTTTCTTTTCCCTCCCCCTCTACCTGTTCAAATTCTACTAATACTTCAAAGTACAACTCGACTCCAACTGTCCCCATAAGACCTTCTGATCATCTTTTCATCATTCCTTTATTTAAAAAAATACATATCGAGTGCTTTTTATGTACCAGATGTTATTCTGGGCTGCATGGCTAGGATGGAATGTAGCCTCAGTGTGTAGCAGACTGTGCCATCTGGGTTTGTGGACATACACTCCATGATGTTTGCATCCAACAAACATATGAAAAAATATTCAACATCACTAATCATCAGGGAAATTTAAATTAAAACCGAGATGAGATACTGTCTTACACCAGCCAGAATGACCGTTCTTAGAAATTCAAAAAGCAATGAATGTTGGCATGGATGTGGTCAAACGGGAGTGCTTATACACTGCTGGTGGGATTGTAAATCAGTGCAACTTCCACAGAAAACAGCATGGAAATTTCTCAATCCCGCATCAATCCACTTCCGGGTATCTACCCACTTCCGGGTACCTACCCAACCCCACTTCCGGGTACCTACCCAACCCCACTTCCGGGTACCTACTCAATCCCACTTCCAGGTACCTAGCCAGTCCCACTTCCGGGTATCTACCCACTTCCGGGTACCTACCCAATCCCACTTCCGGGTACCTACACTTCCGGGTACCTACCCACTTCCGGGTACCTACCCAATCCCACTTCCGGGTACCTACCCAGCCCCACTTCCGGGTACCTACCCAATCCCACTTCCGGGTACCTACCCAATCCCACTTCCGGATACCTACCCACTTCCGGGTACCTACCCAATCTCACTTCCGGGTACCTACCCACTTCCGGGTACCTACCCAATCCCACTTCCGTGTACCTACCCACTTCCGGGTACCTACCCAATCCCACTTCCGTGTACCTACCCAGCCCCACTTCCGGGTACCTACCCAATCCCACTTCCGGGTACCTACCCAATCCCACTTCCGGGTATCTACCCACTTCCGGGTACCTACCCAATCCCACTTCCGGGTACCTACCCAATCCCACTTCCGGGTACCTACCCAATCCCACTTCCGGGTACCTACCCACTTCCGGGTACCTACCCAACCCCACTGCTGGGTATCTACCCAAACCAAAGTCATTATATCAAAAAAGACATCTGCACATAGATATTTATCACAGCACAATTCACAATTGCAAAGATACGGAACCAACCTAAATGCCCATCAACCAATGAGTTTGTTCGTTCAGGCATAAAAAAAGAATGAAATAATGTCAACTTGGATGGAGCTGGAGGCCATTATGCTAAGCGAAGTAACTCAGGAACAGAAAACAAATGCCATATATTCTCCTTTGTAAGTGTGAGCCAAGCTATGAGTACACAAAGGCATACAGGGTGGGGTATAATGGACATTGGAGACTCAGAAGGGGAAGGTTGGGAGGGGGATGAGGCATGAAAAACTATCTATTGGGTATAAGGTGCACTACTCGGGTGACGGAAACACTAAATCCCAGGCTTTACCGTTACACAATCCATCCATGTAACCAAAAACCACCTGTACCCTTAAAAATACAGAAATAAAACATAATAAAAATTTGATCTTTGTTTCACATGGAAGTTAGGAATTGTTGGATATAATATTATTATTAATATTTAATTTAGTTATAGTCAAAGCATATTTTATAATACTTTAATTTGATAATTACAGTATAATTATATATATGTATTATAATATAATAATTTAATACTTATTTCTAGGGTCAGTGTATATGATTTTCCAATGTGCCCTTTAAAACCACATGTACTCCTTAATTGTGGAGTGGAGTGTTCTGAAAAGATCAGTTATGTCACATTGGTTGATAATGTTGTTCAGGTGGTCTATTTTTAGTTTTGTCTGATTGTTCTGTCAATTATTAAAAGGGGGTTGCTAAAATCTCCAGCTATAGTTATGGATTTACTTAGTTTTCTTTTAGATCTGTTCATTTTTCATTTATTTATTTTGAAGTTTTTGAGAAAGGCTGAGGTAAAACCACAGCAATGGTTCTGGGGAAGGTGGTACAAAGGCAGACTGGAGAGCTATGACATCACTAGGCAACAGGAATTTTTCAGCGCCATTTAAATTTCATGGGACCACCGTCATATATGTGGTCGGTCATGTAGCACCTGTACCCAGAGGAAGGGCTCTTATCTGGCACCCGTCCTTCTGTATCTCCTGGCCCACGCCACATTTTGTGCGTGCATGTGTTCACGTAAATTGAGTATTTGTGCACCTTCTTGCCATATTTGCTTTCATCTATTATTTTCTGCAAACTTTGTGTGATCTAGACCTTTTCAAGGTGCTTATGTTGGGGCTCAGAAGCCAATACCCCAAGATACGGTGCTGTGACCTGCTAAACAAAGGAGGAGGCTCAAGATCTCTCTCACCTTCTCCCTACTTTTGTCTCTCAGTCCTCCGTCTCTTCCAAAGTACAAACCTGCTCCCCAAAACGTCCTTATACACCCAGAAACTGGACCCCCAAAGAGAAACACAATCCCTTCTATCCCTTCTCTGAAATTTCATTAACCAGAGAAGATTAAAATTCATATCACAGAGGTAGAGTCTAAAAATTGAACATCACACTTAGAGCCCAGATGAAATTTTAATGGTTCGGTTGTCCCAAAACATTGTTTGTTCTCTGCTTCCATTCAGTTCCCAAAGACAATTATTTACTTACCATTGTCTGAAAATGGAGTCCATTCATTCCCCCTAAAAAACATTTACTCCTACACCCCACCTCCCCTTCTCCTATGAAGAAGGGTACATAAGCATCTGGGATGCAATAGATTATTGGGTAATCATTCCCCATGATTTATCCATGTTCTGCACATTAAAATAATTTTATATGCCTTTTTCTCTTATTAATCAGCCTTTTTTCAGCTCATTTTTAGCAAACCCTCAGAGGGTGAAAAGGAAAGCATTCCGTTTTTACCCCTACACCTACTGCAGCCCAGAATGTGTATGTAATAATTGATAAAAATTATAATGTATTATTAGCAAAAGTAATGACTGATGCTGCTGACTTTTCCAGATTTCTGTGATCCAGCAGAGCACCTGCCATTTCTAGAGAACACAGCTAGAGAACTGTGAAAAAAATATTTTCAACCAATTGGCTAGGTTTCCATTTATGCCTTTCTGCAAGATGGCCCATGTAAATTGTTTAACAACTCAAAGGAAACTGGCCAATGAGGAAGTTTACTTATACATTTTTAATGATGCCCGATACAAATGTCTGTTTTGTTTCTAATGAAAGATACCTAATATCTGAGTTAATAATTAAGGATAACTGCATTGACTTAGTATTTTTTCTCTCATTAAAGTTCTTTCGGCTGGGCGTAGTGGCCCACGCCTGTAATCCCAGGACTTTGGGAGGCTGAGGCGGGTGGATCACTTGAGGTCAGGAGTTTGAGACCAGCCTGGCCAACATGGCGAAACCTTGTCTACTAAAAATACAAAAATCAGCTGGGCGTGATGACAGGTACCTGTAGTCTCAGCTACTTGGGAGGCTGTGGCAGGAGAATTGCTTGAACCCAGGAGGCAGAGACTGTGCCATTGCACTCCAGCCTGGGCAACAGAGCCAGACTCCATCTCAAAAATAAATAAATAAATAAAGTTCTTCAAGGAGTGGATACATCAGTGTCTGGATTTGTTACCCTGAACTTATTACCAGTGGGAATCTCACTATGATTTGATAGCTTGACTTCAGTTTTTGCTGGTATATCCTTTAATCACTGTGATCACTCAAATCATTTCAAGGATCTGGCAAAATAAATGATTCATCTTTACTGCATTTTATTTCTAGGAAAACTTGAGAATTATAAAACCTTGTTTTACAATTCAGGGATGCCTATTCTGCCTGGTTAGGTGTTGTAGAAAAGTGTGAGGAGCTTTTTCCTTTCCACATCCTCCCCTAGGAGACTGGGAATAGCTGTGTGCCTTCTTTCCCATTGTGAGGCTTTGTTCCTTGGATCACCCCTGCTGGAGGCAGCCCCCTTGATGTACTCGGTCCCTGCCAAGCAGGCTGCTCTGGACTCTTAAAGGAGAGGGAGCTCCTCTTCACAGTGGGATGTTTGCTGCTGACACTGGGCTGGGACTCTTGGGGGCAGGATCCCATTCACCACATGTTCATTCGATCTGAAAATGTCTTACCAGAACTTGTTACTAATTTGCTCTTTCATTTATTCAGTCATATGATTATGCTCCACTGACTCCTGCTTTGCAACTGCAAGGGAAGAGGGTAAGTCACCCCCACTAGATTTTTTTTTTTTTTTTTTTGCTTCACTCTGCTTGGAGCTGAGTGGGAGGTCAGGTTGACTGTGCAATTTTCCATATTTGTCTTTCGGAACAGTTAGAAGACCTAGGTTTAGACTAGAAGGAGTAGTTAATTACCGGACCCCACTTAGGCCTTGAGCCTAAAGTGCAGGGTGCAACATCATCTTTATCAAGCTCTGCATTCAATGTTAGTTGGCCACTTCAGTCATTAATACTGTTACTCAGAGCTGAGAAATGATTAGCCAGCCAGAATTTATGCATTTCTGAGTTTCACTAATGATATAACCATGAGTGTCACTCCTCCACCAGCTGGGTAAAACATGGGATGCCCAGTTAAGTAAGAATTTCAGATAGACAATGACTTTTAAAATATAATTGCATCTCAAATATTTCATGAGACATATATGTGCTAAAATAGTATTTATTGCTTATCTGAAATTAAGTTGAACTGAGAATGCTGTACTTTTATTTGCTAGAGTTGGCAACCCTACACACTTAAGCATGGCAGTGTTAAGCATAAACTTCAGTGACAGATTGCCTGGTTCAAATTCCTGCTGTGACTTACCAGGTCAATGTGGATCTTAAGTGATTTTACTTTCATTAATTATCCCTCAGTTTCCACAGCTGTAAAAGTTTCATAATAATATTAGCTACCTCAAATGCTTAGTGTGAGGATTATGTAATCAATACACATAAAGTGCTTAGAGCAGTGTCTGGCACTTAATAAAAGCCATTTAAGTGCTAGCTGATAACCATCTGATATTAACCTGTGCTCAGTTTAAATTCCCAAGTCTGAAGTTCATTTGTGTATGAAGTTTTCCACATTGCACAGGTGCCCGCTTCTACCCAAGGGAAAAGTTTTCTACTCGAAGTTCATTTCGTGCACATATGTCTGTGTGTGTGTGTGTGCATAAGTGTTCTAAATGCCCTCAGCTCCTCCTCTCCTCTGCTTCCTGGATCGTCACTGGCAAGTTTGAAAAGTTTCACTCGTGTCCTTCCTTAGCATGCAGGTGGGGCAGCAACCAAGGGGGCAAATTTGGGGGTGAGTTAAAAAGGCCTGAGAATAAGACAGGGAAGCCCTGCACAGACAGTGGTGGGTACCAAGGCCAGAGGGTGGCTCATCCCAAAATGATGCCGGAGAACCAGGGGCCAAGACATCCCTAGAGAGGTGAGGAGGAACTGCAAGTCTCTGGGGACCCAGGTTACGGGGTGGCGTCAGGATTCTAAGCCTAAGGCTGTGGTCCCAGAGACAAAAGAACCACAAATTAAAATTCAAATGTGGGCAAGTCGGGGTTGGGGTGCTGGGAACTTGAGTCAGGGCTGGGACAAAGAGTCCAGGCTATGCTGGACAAAGTGCCTTCTAAGCCGTCACTCAGAGTCTCATGAAAATGTCGACCAGGGAACAGGGCAACAGCAGCTCCTCTGGGTAAAAGAGCTCACATGCATTTTAATCCACCTTTTATACCATCATCCTGCCTGTCTTTCTCCATCCAGTTTATAAGGTAGTCAAGAAAATCACGCCCAAAGTCCCTAATGAAATACAGGTCTGCACCTAACCCAGGCCCCCTGGGTCTCCAGAAACCCCATCACACTGCAAGAAAACTCCCAGAGCCATGAGACCTCACAGCCGTTTGGACAAGAACAAGTACAGCTTAGGTTGTTTCTCTTTCTCCTCCCATCCCCACCCTCATGTTCTCCTCTGTTTTCAGCTATGAAACATGTGCTGGGTTTCTGAACAAACCACTCCAGAATGTGGCACTTTGGCACAGTAAAGATTTTAAGCAGAAGGAATTGGAGAAACGGCAGGTGCAAGAAAGACTCCCTCACCTTTCACTGAAGCAGGTCGTAGGACGCTTCTGCGAGAGATGCCCTCCCAGTGCCCAGAAGAAAAGAGCATGCTTATCTCGCGGGCACAGGACTGCCGGAGGAATGTGGCCTTGCAGAGTGTCCCAGGTGAGCACACTCTGCTCGTGCTCCTCTGCCTGTCAGATTTTTCCACGACATTTTACTCACCAGCAAACTACCGTAAAGACACAGATTCAACCCCTTTTCAGTGTTTCTTTATGAACCTTTACGAAGGTTCCTGTGTCACGTAAAACTCACATTCAATCCACTGGCGTGCTTTTCTTTTGTGAATCTGTCTTTTGTTACAGAGGCCCCAGCCAGTGAAACTGAGGTGGGTAGAAGGGAAAGACTTTTCCTCCAGGACACCACCCAGAGCCCTTCACCCAGGCGGGGCTGCAGAGCGTCTCACAGCCCAGAAGACCAAAGGCCTGCGCCCGCCTCAGCCTCCGCCTGCCTCCCCGGGCAGTCCGCATCCTTCCTCAGCAGCCTGAGCCTGGGCAGTGGCTCCAGCTGACCCTGAGAGAGGGGCAGGTGCCACGGGGGCAGGTCAGGCACGGGGAGCCTCGGCGAAGGGAGGGCTTCTCACATGCGCCCAGAGACTGCCTTTCATCCTCTTCCCAGCTCTGTCAGTTCCAAAGGCAGGGCTGGTGCTCGGCGTGGCAAGTGTTGTTTCGTACCTTTTAGTATTTAGTGTTAGCATTTTGCAGGAGGGGTATTGTTTCGTAGCTGAAAAATGAAAGACTTAAAGGAATGTAATGCATCACCCAACAATATCATGCATTTTACTCCACACCAACAAAGGAAAGTAGAAATTGAGGACAATCACATAAGTAATTAGTGCGTAAAACTCTCTTTTGCCTCAGTTTATCTGGATATTTTCAGTCAATTCCCTTGGCTAATTGCTTACATTTTTCTTTCACTGGATCAGGTGAAGTTCCTGTGAACTTGGGCAACTATTTCAGAACTGGTTTAGCCAATGTTATTGTTATATCATATTATCTTATTGTATCACCATTTACTAATTAATTATAGGATAATATTAATAGAGTTATTTCTATATATCTATTATATATATGTATATTTATTGATGTATATATAATTGATCTAGGTATTTATTGTTATATTTATAACTATTTTATTGATTATAATGTATGTATCTTTTTATTAGATATATATATTTTTTATATCTATAATTATTGTATATTTATGATTATATATATTTATGATTTTATTTTCTAAACTAATATTTTTGTTAGTAATGTATTATCTATTTTATATGATAATATATATTATTATATATCGTTATTATTAATACGTATATTATTCATATATAAATAAATAATAGATATATAAATTATATATATTATTATCTATATAAATATAGATAATACATTATAATCAATAAATATAGTTGTTAATTTTACATCAATATCCTCATTAATGCTGTCATTATTATTCATTAGTTGCATGTTTTAAGTGTTTGAAAGGAAAAAAAAGGAAACAAGAACTTGACCAATTGTTTCATTTGAAGCTAATAAAATAATAAGCTGTATTGAAAGTGTCTTCTAAATTCTGCCAGTCTTGTTACAAACAATCCCATACTCCTGTTTAAATTGGCCTGGACCACTGGCACCCCAAGGTAAGTGCAGCTGACACTCTGGAATCTGACTTCAGTGAGACTGAAGCTGGGCACGGCTCCTGCACTTGGGCAGGACTGAACCCAGGGAGGGAGTTCCAGTGTCCTGTGCAGGCCTGGAGCTGCCAGCACGACCTTTGAACTAAGGCTCCTTAGAACACGGTTTTGTCAGAAAAGCATGAAATAAATATATTTTAGTATTTAGTGTTAGCATTTTGCAGGAGGGGTATTGTTTCGTAGCTGAGAATTTTAATCCACCTTTTATACCATCATCCTGCCTGTCTTTCTCCATCCAGTTTATAAGGTAGTCAAGAAAATCACGCCCAAAGTCCCTAATGAAATACAGGTCTGCACCTAACCCAGGCCCCCTGGGTCTCCAGAAACCCCATCACACTGCAAGAAAACTCCCAGAGCCATGAGACCTCACAGCCGTTTGGACAAGAACAAGTACAGCTTAGGTTGTTTCTCTTTCTCCTCCCATCCCCACCCTCATGTTCTCCTCTGTTTTCAGCTATGAAACATGTGCTGGGTTTCTGAACAAACCACTCCAGAATGTGGCACTTTGGCACAGTAAAGATTTTAAGCAGAAGGAATTGGAGCTATTCTGCCTGGTCAGGTGTTGTAGAAAAGTGTGAGGAGCTTTTTCCTTTCCACATCCTCCCCTAGGAGACTGGGAATAGCTGTGTGCCTTCTT